TTTTTCTTAACACTTTTTTCCCATATGATTATAATTTTTAATAAGTGGTAAGCTTAAAATTTTATATACTTCTTCATTCAAATAACATTCTTTACTCCAGTGTCTAATGCAAACATAGTCTCTGTACGGGAAGCATCGTTGAAATAAAGTAAGAGAAATAAAAGCAGTTGTTATTCTTTCAACTCATCCTTTTCTTTTTTTTTTTTTTATAAATGTAGGAAAGTGTCTTTCTCTCTGGTTGCTAAGCTCCTTAATTTACTGAACTACCAATCTTTTTTCCTTTTGAAAGACGCTGTAACCAAGTCCTAATTAGAATGCTGCTCATGTTGCTTACACTTGGCTGACGCGTCGCGGACATGTTTTTTTAAGAAGGTACACAATTTTTTTTCTAGCTCTATTACTTTTGTGCTAAAAAAAATATTCTTTAGCTTCCCAAGGTCGGCTAGTGCTCTTTTTGCAGGTCTTATTATTTTCGTGAATAAAAGGTACGGATGATTACACTAAAATAAAAAAGAAGCCATTTCTAATTTTTTAAAATAGATTCAATTGCTGCTAAGTCCTTGTCAAGAAATTCGTCCATAACAACTATCTTTTGGGAGAAAGGTGGTGCTCACTATCATTGAATCGTTCCGTTTGTTTGTTTTTCGATGAAATGGTTCCGTTGTGTCACGTCTAGTACTCTCCCCTTCTTTTTATAAACATCAAGCCTTGTTTATCTATTGTTACTTCTTGCATTTACTTTGGGTAAGACTTCCATATAGTTTTGTATCTTACAATTTCTAATTATTTCATTTTCTAGAATGCTATTTTGTGCTTGTTTTTTTTTTGGATCAGGTTTGGATGTATGGCCTTTTTTTTTTTGTGTGCATCTCGGGTAAGACATAGACCCGTACCGAAGTGTTCAGTTTATTTATTATTATTTTTCTACGATAGATTCCCACGCGATGCCCCTTTATTGATGTACATGATATGATGGATATGGTTTCTCGTTTTTGTTTTGTTATGGTAAGAAATATAACGTTGCTTGTTGTCATTCATACTAACTTATTATTATTATTTTTTAGGCATGCTGCTTTAAAAAAATTCTCTGATTTTTATTCTGCTTCGGTTTCTTCATTTCATGGATCGTTTGGTGATATCAAATGAGCTGACGCGCTTTTTTTTTATTCAATAAAATCGCTTTTCTAGTTATATTTTTTTATTTTAATTATATGCTCTTACGATCTAATTTTGATCCAATAATAAAAAAAAGAAATGTAAACAATCTACAAAAATAAAGCCAATAAGGTTTCATCATCTAAACTATATGACGAATATAAAACCAATAAAACCACAGCATTTGTAATATTTGACAAAAATAATAAACTTGAGAAATAATGAGATAATAATATATCTATAGGGGAAATAAAATAGTCTAACAAAATTCTACTGCTATGAAATAATTGATCCTTTTTATATTGCACAGCCCTCCTGTGTTTTAATAATGAGTCAACCTCTCTGATTTTGGAATTGATCTATACTTTGTTTCGCGCCTTGGGTTAAATGAATACTACTTGTCAGAACTGTTTCCAGTAAACGTTATCCCATATCAGTGGATCGGAAGCACGAGTATTCTAATAAATATTTAATCTTACGAGACACCTATTTATCAGATCATGCAACGGATACTGTAAAAGATGCACACTTGTTTGCCAAGTGTAATTGGTAAAAGAACATAATAGTTGTAGTTGATCATTTATTAATTATCTTTGTAATGAATAAAATACGATCCCAAATATAAAATGTCTTATCGAGATTTGTATATTTGGCTGTAGAAGATAGGTATCCATTAATTCATACACTATTTCTTTATACTCTTTATCAGCAGTATATTATATCACATATAAGTAATGAACCATTTATATTAATAGCTGTTCTATTCTCTCTCTGGTAGCTAATCCATGGATAGAACTATTATTATTAAGTTACTCTTTCTTATAATTCTTGATTTGATCTGAGAAGATTCTCTTCTCCGATCGGTAATATCGTAACTCAGTGGTATAGCACTCTGTATCCAACTATCATTCGTATATCGCATTTAGACCAATCATTTAATCTTTAATATAGAAATATGTACTCGTAGTAGGAGAAGTTGTATAACAGTATACATGCGTATGCTGATATGCAACATCACAGGTTGTTTTAATTTCATAGTTTATTTATTTAAACGATTTGCTTAATTATTCTTAAGTGAATCGTACCCAAATACGACGGCGTTGCTATGACCAATCGATAACTGACCCAGTAGTATACCTCCATCTATAAAATAAAAGCCAATGGATGGAGAATAAAGCACCTGAACTACAACATGATCATTAAAATTTTAATATGAAATCCACCATGATCAAAATATATTTATGCAAATTTACATATAAATTTATGCCTGAGAAGCAACAAGCTCAGCATAAAAGTATGCCAAACAAGAGTGAATTTGTAATTGATTTCTGTATTGATTAATGTAAATTTAACCCGTAGAATCATAGCAAATAGAAGATAAAATACAATTATAAAAAACGAAATATAAAGTTATTTATGATAGACAGAATGCTAAAAAAATAGCTTGGGAAAGACTTAATTTGTAGCAAGTTGACAAACCTGTCTTAAGACTTATAATAATAATCCAAGAAATTAAAAATGAGATCAAAAAATGGTTTTTATTACAAAAAGTGATTCATACTTTCTTTACGCCTGATGCAAAGACTTCAGACACTACAATATCTTAAAAAACCAAAAAATGAATTAAATGTCATAGTCCGGAGTCGAACCCGGACCAACTGCGTAATGATCGCGCATGTTCGCCACTTGGCAAACAGCAATCAGAAATCGTGATACGGTCGTATTTTGGTCTTGTGTTTCGCTTGAAGTCTTAAAACACGTGACTTTCACGTGTTTGTTTTACAGTATATATTGTAAAGAAGTAGGAGAAAGGTGGTTGAAGATTTTGGAAGGTGTTATGAAGGTTAATGTCGAAATGAGCGAGGAAGAAGTTCAGTGGTGTCTAAGGAATAAATTGTTTTTCTTGTTGTTGTTGCGCTGGGAAGATCTGGTGTTAAAAGTCCGAATGAATTTTCTAGAAGTCACGTCAAGTTTGAGAAATCCATCTTCTATTTTTGATAAATCCAGAGAATCGGTTTTTGCTAGTTGTCGCAGTTAGAAGAGGAGCTATTGTCGTATTGAATATTTCTTGGATGTTATTATTTGAATTTTTGACATCTGATTTATTTTCATTCCCTCATTTTATTTTTATACTTTCATTTATTTTATCCGTATTTTTAACTTATGATTTATTTGTTTGACAATGGTCGATCTGATCTTGTATTTATATTTTTGTGTATATTTTTTTTTGACAGCTATAAAAGCTTATTTTATTGATAGTGAATAAAGGTTATCTTTTTCCTAGTTTATATTTTTTATATTCTATTATTTTTGATACATAACTTCTTTGGCAGCTTTCCATTGCTTACTAGTGCATTTTAATCTCTTCTCTCTGTTTGTATAATCTGATATCAAGTCTTTACAGTCTCCTTGAACCATCATTTTATATATTGTTTATTCTCGTACTCTACACAAGGTAAACATAAAAGACAGTCAGATCCTTATCAAAATATAACATCCTCAATGGTCCAACGGCTAGGATTTATCGCTTTCACCGATACGGCCGGGGTTCGACTCCCCGTTGGGGAATTACCTTTTTCTTTTTTTAAATTATTTGCTTACGTAATATGCTGTCCGACAAATCAAATTAATATGTAACAAAAAATACAAATATAAAGTGGATAAATAAGATGATTTATTTGATTTTTTTTTATAGTTATGTGACAGTAATTTATGTAGAACAAAGATGGTTTGTATTTTTCGTAATAGAAGCTCAGTAGCAAATTCAGAATCTCAATTTAAAAATCATTTTTCACTACATTAATAGCCTCTATTATGTTTTTCTTGACATGATATATAAAAGCTAATATATTTTATTAATAAACAGAAGTCTATAGACTGATTTAATTATGTGATTTTTAATAGGGAAAGTTTTAAGTATAATATGTAAGGTGATAATTATCTAGCTTTTGATAGGAAGGTCGCTTTTAACAGTATCGTGGTGATTATGTGCAGAAACACAATAAAAAGCAATTTAATTGGCACCTCAATAAATAAAATATGCAGTGATCGAAGCCATGATTTTCAACAACTATTAACATCTAAAAAATATCCTATAATCTATATTTCATACTGTTGGTATTCCTACAGAACTACGGGTATTATCTTGGCTAGTTGGCTCACAAAAGTGTACACACAGTTGAATGTACGTCGAATGTATGGAGCATATTCCGTGTCTTGTATTCACTTTCAATCTATAATACGCTTTTCTTAGGGACAGCCAAAGTGCACGTAGTCACAACATGCGATCCGTGATCTGGCTATCCTTTAGACTTGACAAGAAAAGATAATCAAAAACAATATGGTATTTACAAATAGCTGAATTTTGAATGATTTGTACTTAGTTTGAAAATTCTACCAGCACTTCTTCGCTTTTAAGCTCGTTTGATCTCAATCTTACGCGGAAATATTAAGGTAAAGTCCAAACGAGAAGCTGAAGGTAAGCTATAGCACAGCTATACTGGTTTACACTTTGCTGGTTGTAATAGATTTGTATCTATTTCAAGTTAAATTAAGTTATATTGACCTCTTGGTGTCTATTAAAGTATCATAATCCCAACATTGCGACTACGCGCACCCTGACTGTCCTTAAGAAAAATGGCTGTCCCTAAGAAAAATGGCTGTCCCTAAGAAAATTTGGCTGTCCCCAGGAGACCCGCTTATAATAAACCACTTTCAATGTTTAATACATCCCTGCCAGTCATGTACTGTATTGTACTACGGGCGGGTTCCTAAAAAGTGTGTTGGAGTTCGAGAGGTCAACATCTCTTTTTTTTTGTTTTTTGTTTCTTTCTTTTATTTGTAAAATGTATAAAGATTTTAAACTGTAAGTCATCGCAATAGAAGTGATTCAAACATTATTACCCTCAAATAGTTTAACACATTTGAAAAAAAAAAGATATATTACGAAGAAGGCGTATGTGCTTGCACCAACTACAGGACCTAACTTGACTGTTCATCGCGACTCGGGCTTGATTGAGTTATCTGGTAAATATGACACTGATAGCATCCTACAAAGAGTTACTTAATAAAAAGGTACTAAACTTAGAAACTGTACCTCCTACCAGTGAACAAGAAAGTACCTTGAACGTATACGGTCTTTTAGGTTTTATCAAACTCTGGGCTGGTAATGTATTTATTTTTGATATAAAACTGGGTTTTAACAAACTTTTATCAAAAAGGTGATTATATGTTAACTATCACCAAACGTGAACAAATTGGTACGATTTATGGTAAGGCTATTTATCGCGTAGGGGCCTTCCAAATTTTGCCTTTAGCCGAAAATTTGAGCAGTTTGAATGAAAACCAGGTACGACATAAATTGGAGGAAGAAGAAGGGGGAGTTTCTAAAAGCTTATTATTTTTTTAGAGAGTGCAAGAACAAGAGTTTGTTGATCTTCTTGAAAGCCATCTTAAAAACAATACCTTCTACTATTCTTATGATTATGATTTGACTCAGTCGATCCAAAGACAGAACCAATTTAGTTCTGAGAAATTAGCCGAACCTTTGTATAAGAAAGTCAGTTGAAAAAAAAAAAAAGTCAGTCTTATAAAAGTTAACCTTTGTATGTTTTAGGCTGATGAACGATTCTTCTGGAATCGATTTGTATCTTCTAAGTTAATTGACGCCAGTATCGACGTAAGTCAAACAATAAACTTACAGACAATTGTAAAAAAATTTACCAAAGATACTTAGGTTTCAAACTTCATTTTACCCGTTATGCAAGGATGTACGTATATATCTATATATTTAAAAAGAAAGAATGACTAATCCTAATTGAATTTTTTGATAGTCGTTGAATTCAATACCTGTAAAATTAACAACAAAAATTTTGTTTGGGGTTTAATTACACGTAGAAGTAGACACCGTCCTGGAACTCGTTTTTTCTCACGTGGTATCGATGCTGAAGGTCATGTATCAAACTTTGTGGAAACTGAGCAATTGGTTTTGTACGACGGCCCATCTGCAAGCCAGTCTGTTGAGGGTAAAATAGAGCTGTCCTATGTTCAAACGAGAGGTTCAATTCCTGTTTACTGGGCTCAAGTGATCAACCTTAAATACACTCCTCGCCTTTGGATTGGTGAGAGCAGAAAAAGCGTGAGTTTATTGCCTTTGATTTTTGTCTATGAGCTTACACGTTTTCTTTTGTATCATAGCTAGCTGCCGCACGTGCTCATTTCGACGAACAAATCCGTATTTATGGCCCACAAATCTTGGTCAATTTAATCAATAAAAAGGGTTACGAGCTTCCAATGGGCCAAGCATTTGCCCGTACTGTGGAACAATTGAATGATCCCCGCATCTACTACACGCACTTTGATTTCCATTCCGAATGTTCCAAGATGCGTTGGCACAGAATTCAACTTTTGGTAGACCAATTGAAAGAAAAGCTGATTGAACAAGGGTAATACTTTTATAACAAAACTTTATGATGAAACTAAATGATTTTTTTTTTTGGACAGTTACACTTATGTCAAAACCACTGAAAATGGCCCTGTTGTGGTAAAGACTCAAACCTCTGTTGTTCGTACGAATTGTATGGATTGTTTGGATAGAACCAATGTTGTTCAAAGCACACTCGCAAGATGGGTTTTGACGGAACAACTTCGTGAAGTTGGTATTCTGGAACAAAATCAAAAGGTGGAAGATCAAGAGGATTTCATGATTAGCTACAGAAACAGTAAGAGCAAAAAAGAAAAAAAAAAGCAGAGAAACAAAGAAACTAAAAAAGTAAATAGCTTGGGCTGATAATGCTGATGGTGTTAGTTGTGTTTATTCTGGTACAGGCGCCCTTAAGACCGATTTTACTAGGTAAAGTTAGAATACAATCACCCAATTTAAATTGATATCAATATTTATTTATTTTAAAAAAAGAACTGGTCAACGTACCAAAGCAGGTGCTTTGAACGATTTATCAAACTCGATCACTCGATACGTCAAGAATAACTTTTTAGATGGAAACCGACAAGATTCATTTGATCTCTTTCTTGGAAGATATCGTCTTGAAAACGATACCTCCGCCAAAACACATAACCCTTTTGACGAGAGTAAAGCTCTCCGTGTCCGTGTTGTAAGTCCCAACTTCAAATTTCAGAGACCAAGTTTTAATGTGTATTGTAGGTGCCCTATATCCTTTTATTTGCACTCTTTATGCTTATTTTGAACATTGTTCGACCTGGATATTCTGGATTCCAATCTGTCTCTTCGTATCTTCTTTTACTTTTATTCTGGGTTTCCGTCTTAATTTCAGGTGTTCGATTTGCCCTTCAACATGGTAGTGAGTTTGTTCAATGGCCTCATTTAGTTAAGCTTCCTCCTACCGATGATGTTTGTGAAGCAGGCGGTTTTACAGAAAAGGGTAATATGTCTCCTCCCGAATTTGCCGAAAAGCGTCCCCTTTAAATCATACATGCTATACAAGACAAGTTATGAGTGCACCCCCAGAATAAAAAAATAATTTATTTTACATGCATAATCTACGGACGAAATGAAAAACGAAAAATATTTTTCTATTATATGGGTCTGCCGTTAAAGCAATAATGAAGATTTGTTACTAAAACTATCTTAAAGGACACCGACAAATGTAGCATTTGCAATTTAAAAGGTTGCTACTTGGATTAAAGTTTAAGTTGTTTTATGTGTCGAAGGTGAAGTAATTAAAGATTTTGATACACTTCAGCATCAAGAAAATGACTAGCTTCAATTTTGAGAAACTATTTAACAAATAGAGTACTGTTCCCACGAAAAAAATGTATCCTGAAAGCAGTTAGACTGCTCGTTATATGGTCCTGTTGAATGAATCTAGTAGATTTCATAAAAGGTTTTTCAGGAAACTGTCGGAAAATGTGCTACAATCAAACGCGGAAGAAGAGATTTACATCAAATTTTAACAGCTAACAGAATGAACAGGTTTCAATTAACCAAGCAATACGAACACAAGTTTAAAAATTCAAAAAATACCGTAAAATCCTCCTGAGTAGCAACCCGCCTGAGTAGCGGGTGCTAAAAGAAAGACTTATAACTGGTTTGAATTCCTTGGAGAGATATAAATCTGAATAGCATCTTGCAAAAAAAGTCCAATATGGCAGATATTTTTCAAAAAAACGATGTCAACCTTCGAACCAACCATTACACCGCTCATCCTTTGCAAAGAAGACTACGACTATCTACCTATCTTAAAATACAGCAGTGAAACAGGAATCTAATTGCAACGTAAATAAACAGTTTGTCATTGATGTTATTTATGCTATGGATAATTGGTCCGTTCCCAAAAAGCTGATCCAAAAAGCTACTAAAAGGGCCCACTTGATTGAAAAACTCAGAACAGATTAATAGCACCCGGTCTGCAAATGTACGGCTCTTAACAGGCAAAGGTAGATAATCCTGTTCCCATAAACGAAGAGTGATTATTCGCTTTACTAGACATGGCCTTTGGAGATATTTATTTCACTTTCTTTTAATCTAGTTCACTCTCCACTGAAAAACATGCGTATTATTCCGAGATTTCGACATCTCGAAGCTCCTAAAGAATAACACAGAATAGCAAGATCTCAAGATGATTGAGCAAAGGTAGATATGTTCAGCAATGTTGTATCAGGCCTTTTAATCGCAGACCAATTGAAGATACGCTTGAATAGTAGGTAGGCTCAACTGTTCTTGGTTTTAAACCAATATGTTTACATTTTGAACTGAAAATGGTGTATCTTACAATGAAACCAGTTAAAAAGATTAATGTTTTCCTGTAAAAATTCATGTATACTTGCTGTTCTGCCCGACTCGTCCTGTTTAACGCAAGATTGATAGAATACTTCGTGTGAATTTTATAAATGCATATAAAGCACGAAACAAATACTTTTGTGATTACAATCATATCTTCTCATGTCTTCTATTCCATCTGAAACTAGTTCTAAACCAAAGTATATTCTTATTACTAACGGTGAGTCCTATGTCGGCCATTCTCTGGCAATTTTTATCGCCGATCAATTGGTTCGAAAAGAGGGCCAACTGAAAAAAAATTGGCGTGTTCGAGTTTTATGTGAAGATAAGAAAAAATTGCAAGACCTCGAGAAAAAGGGCATTGAAGTCAAGGTAATGAAGAAAATTCTGTAATTCTCAAAGAACAATCCCCTAAAAGAATTCATAGGAAGTCGATTATGAAAGCCAAGCTGTTCTTCGTGATCAAATGAAAGGCCAAATCAAGACTATGATTTGTAACCCTTTCTCCCAAAATGATGACCGTTTAATTCATCGAGGTAAAAATTTGATTGACGCTGCTATTCATAACAAAATCAAGCGTATCATGATGATTTCCATGTAAGCATATATACATACACACGAATATGTCTGCTTTACTTAGATTTCTATGTTCATAGGATGGGATGCTCATTTTCAGAAGATAAAGAAACCCCTGCTGGTCAATTCAACTTATTGGAGGAACACCTTCGTAACTGCTTCAAGTACGGTGACTGGGTTGTTTTCAGAATTCCCATGATTCAGCAGTACATGTACTTTTGGTCAAGCATGATCGAGAACAAGTCTGTTATTGGTATGCCTATTGCCGAATCCAATATGCTGACCACTGTTAATATAAAAGATGTTTGTGAATGTATCTGTCAAGCTGCCTTGTCCAAGAAATGCATAGTTTGGGGTCAGACAAAAAATGATGACGTTATCAGTGATAGCAGCAGCAGCAACAGCGAATATGTCACTACCCATACCACACTCAAGAGAGTCTATGAATTAACAAGCGATAACGTTATGACACTCACAATGATTGCTCAGGCACTTTCTGATGCACTTAAAGAAGCGGGATTTAGTTCCGATGTCGAACCTGCTACGATTACCAGAGAGCAACTCGAGAGTTACTTGAAATTTGTTTCTGAAGAACCTGCTGAAGCTAAGGTCGAGTCCTTTTTGACCATAATTTTCCCTGATATTATAACCAAAAAACGCAATATTAGCACCGGTGGATTGCTTTCTAACTTCAGATCCCTATTTATTGGTAGCGAAGTAGCCAAACCTTGTGAAATGGACGATCCTAATTGGTACCCTTCTCCTCCCAGGTTTTTGACTCCATTTTGTATCCAAGTCATCCTGGATCATCTCAATATATCTCGTCAACCCGAAATTCCCATGTTGCCAAGTAGTGATGTACGTGATATCACAGGTCGCAAACCGATTGACCTTTCCTCTTTCTTCATGAAAAATCGTCGTCAGTTCCGACCCGAGTTTGTCAATTGATTTTTTTTAATGCAAATATTTCAATAAACAAACAATGATGCACAAATTCCTTAATTTTTAACAAATACATCCTTCTGGATGAATATTTTTTTAATTTAATATATCTAACATTCTACATTTTTAATTTTTTTTATAAGTTGCTGGCAGCTCGCTTTAAACAGTACCACTGGCACCAGCAGCACCTTCGATAGCAGCAGCACCCTCAACAGCAGCAACACCTTCAACAGCAGCGGCAGCAACACCTTCAATACCAGCAGCACCCCAAACATTTGCTTGAAGTCTGTTTTGATCATCTAGTAATATAAAAATGTGAGTAACAAGTTTAACGTGTATCAAGACTACTTACGAGCAGCGGCAGCTAAAGTAGTTCCAGGTCCGTCAACCAAGGGAGCACTGGCAGGTTCAACCAAAGGGGCTACCTCAGCCTTTTCAGCCCAAGGATTGGCAGAAGCTTCAGCCATAGGGGCACTGGCAGATTGAGCCCAAGGGGAACCTTCAGCCTTTTCAGCCCAAGGATTAGCAGAGGCAGAAGCAGTATCAACAGCAGCAGCTTCAGCTTCAGCGAGAGGGGTATCAGCAATAACAACTTCAGCAGCAGCTTCAGCAAGAGGGGTATCAGCAATAGCAACTTCGGCAGAAGCGGAAGCAGGAGTTTCTTCACTTGCTTCAACAGTAGCACACAAAGCGTACAGTTCTTGCTCAGCAGGAGCTACATTGACAGCTGGAGGACCAACTTCATTGGCCATGGCTAAATGGTTGGTGCCAAAGTTATTTGTTTCCCAAGTTTGAATACGGACACTTCTTTCGGCCGACGCCAAACATTTATTGACCATGGCGGTCAAATCCATGGAATTTCTGCTATCGACATCAACTAATTTACCACCGAGAGTTTGGCAGTAAGAAGCAGCTTTGTCGCCAGAGACACGGAGAGGTGTGATGAAGTAACGTGAGTCCTCGATATTACAAGGAGTTTCAGCACGTTTGGGAATAGAGGCGGCATTAACAGTAGCTGCTAACAAGGCAGATGAGGCAATGATAATTAAACTGGATTTCATGGTATAAAAAAAGATAAGTTGAATGAAGTTCGATAAAAGAGGCAACAAGAATCATAAGCTTTTTATACATGTCATAATATTCGAGAAAAATAAAATGTTTTTGTGAAAATTTAGATCTGGACCTTTTTTTTAAACGAGGTTTCGGTTTTAATAATTGCGTTTTAAAATGGACGAAGAATGTTTTTATTTAGCAGATATTCTATGCACTTCATACCACTCGCCACTCATGATATCCAATGTTTGGACGTAGTATTGAGCAATGGCTTCCATTGCTTGTTCTTCTTTTTGAATCTTTAATATGTTCTTCTTTGGATTGAAATCTTTTCGCCAATTATCTTGCTGCTGTTGCTGTTGAATGGTCTGGAATGATTTTTTGGCTGCACTGTCTTTAACGGGTTGAAACAGACGACGAATAGGTGTGATGGCAAATGAAGGACCAAAACTTTCGACTGGATCATAAGTGAATGTTGGCGTAGTGGGTTGTATGCACCTCGCGTCTTCAATTTCATCCAAAAGTTCCTCAGGCACATAACTTTTTTTTCAAAATGAGTTATTTAATGTTCATAGCAAAAATCAATTGTAAAAACTTACATCTTTTTTCCTTTACGATCCGTATATTCATCGGGTTCAGCTTTAGGAATAGGTTGTATGTCTATGGGGGAAACCTTGCCCCACACTTGTTTCGTGGAGGACGACGATTCCGCCACTGTTGTTTCAGCCGTGAGAATGAGTTTTCTTCTTTCTTTCTGAGACACCTTTTTAGGGACGGATGACTATCAACACATTTTTAGAACAACCTTCTTTTTTTTTTTTTTAATGCAAAATGTTTTCTTTCATACCTTGACATTTTTTGATCCTGAGCCAATCGGTTGATTTTCCGTTTCAAGAATTTCACGCAGTGACGGTTTTGATCTAATCAATGTTAATTTTGGCATGCAAAAAAAAAGGCCGTTCTACTATCAAACTTACACTGTAGTTTCTTGAGAGGACCATCCAGAGGATCTTCGCCTTGGTTGTGTTGTCAATTCCACAGGTGCATCCACTGAAACATGTTTCTTCATTCTTGCTTCGGCTTTTACTACTGCCACCACTGGAGCCACGCCTACGGGATTTTTAATAGGTCGCGTAGTAACTAATGTCTCCAAGAATGAAGTAATACCATCCAATCTTCCCTGTGCATACAAGGACGTAGAAAATTCTGGATCCTCAACCTCCAGATAGGAATCATCCTGAAAACTAAAAGCACCTCGTGAAACTGTGGGTGTTTCCATAATTTGACAACGGCGCACATAGTTTTCTAAATCTCGTAAAAGTTGCACAGAGATAAAGTCAAGCATGCTTCATTTTTTAATAGTGTTAAAAATAGTTTTCTTTTTACACTAATCATTTCTTACCTGGATCCTAGAAATGCTGGTAAATTGACACTGATGAATTGTAAACAGGATTCTTTAAGTGATTCAGCTAAATATGCATCCGCATGTTCATAAATAATAGCTGCAGATCGAAGTGTGATAAAGCGCACCAGGGCACTTTCCGTAATAACTTTGAGACGTGTCAGTAAAAGCGCATCTGCTTCACAGAGCACACTCAACAGATAATACATCATGGATTCTTCTTTATCTTTAGCAATAGTATCGAATAAGCTGTTTCCATCTTCATCGGTATAGATGTACTGGATGATCGTATCCATCACTTCCTTTGACATATGATCCAAATTAACTTGCAGAGGGAATCGATCTTGTACCCACACAGATCCTGCTTTTAACATATGGCGGAAATAGTCAGACCGTTGTCTTAATATTACTTGATGACATGTCATAGTTTCTTCCTTTGTTTCGATCGTTAAGTCCGTTCCATTTCTTTTCTCTAATAATCGTCGTAAATCCACCTGTAACGAACTGGTTTTTCGGTAATAGTTTTCCTGTGCAGTCAGGACCAAGTTGGGAATATGAAAGAGTTTGGCTAAAGCCAAAAGATCCTTTTGAACTTGTTTGAGAGTGCATGTTTCCAAGTAAGCGAGTACTGGCATTTGAAATCCTAATGACATTGGATGTTGATATTCATCAGTGTACATAAAATCCAATAGTAATAACACCGAGGCTAAATGGCACTGGTCGATATAAATCTCGATTTTACCATCGTCTCTCTTATCTAGACGGATTTTGATATCGCTTTCTCGGTCTTTACATTTTATCAGTCTCTTGAAAACATCACTACGACATCGCAAAATCGTGCTATGACAATGGATACGTTTTTCATCCACAATCAAAATAATATCCAAGGTTGCGTCGTCGGTTGGGTGGCATCGGTTCCATGCATCCTCAATTGATTTCGTTTTGAGTATTTTGTAATGTTGCTCTAGTTTCTGTTTTTCTGCAGCATAATCATCAGCATCGTGTGTTTCTACACGGTTACTATTGACTTTAGTATATTTTTCTAACAGGCGATCTAAACTGGCCTTTTCCTCTTCCATGTAATTATCCAATCTTTTCTTGAGCCAGCTCGAAGCTTCGATATGGGGTAAGGAAGAAACTAAATCATGCACCAGTGTAGAAGCGGGTATTTGGGTGATAAGTGGTAGCTGATATTCAGAGCGGATGGCAGCAAAAGCACCACTTGAATTAGCACATACTTGAATACACCGTTGTATGGAAGGCACGTTATTAAATTTATACCCGTTGGCTTCAGAACGACCAATAAATACATGCCCTGACTCCGTACATAAGATTGTTTCTCCGTGTTGACCAATACTGACATCTACCGCAACCAGATGGTTTTGTCCAGACCAAATACGTTTGGGCGTGGATACAGTGGTGGTTTTCTTTACAGTTCGAACAGTCCAGAGAAAGATATCACCCGTGTTGGTTAATGCGCCTAAATAATCTGTCCCACTGCTGATGAGTTTAACGGCAAATGTGGGTTCGGAACGATGTACTTGGATGTTGCTAGGAAATCGACGAACAGGCAGGAAGAGTTTTTTCTGGGTGAAATCACAGAGCAGTATAATTTCATGCGCTTTGGTCAAAATGGCAGTGACATTTTCGTTGGCTACGACTTGCAAAATAGGACTGGATAGGGTGCTCACTTTTCTAGGTGTCGGTTGACAGGTCTCATGATCTGGTTGAAAGTAACCTAATTGACCTCCATTCTTACCAAATGTAAAGATATCTGTCGAGGTATATACCACAGAATGAACAGTTGAGGCAGCAGCACCTATAATTGCTTGCTTTTTTAAACTCTGTGCCTGAATTTTACGGGGCAAGGCTTGCATTGGATTCTCCGTTTCATAACCTTATATAAATTGAATAAGCTTTTTGTTTTTTTTTTTTTTTTTTTTGGTAAAGAATCTAGTAATTACCTAATTGACCATGATTGTTTTGACCAAAAGTAAGAACATTTCCACTAGCTGTGATAGCAACTGTGTGATCTCGACCGACAGCAACAGAGATAATGCGTTCAGGCCATTGAACAGGAACAGGTGTAAACTGTGTTTCTTTACCTGTTCCCAAACGACCACCACTTCCAAAGCCGCAGACCAACAGATTCTGCTGTGGCTCATTTGTCAAAACAGCCATATGATACTTGGACATGACAATACTTTCGATCACACAAGTCGGTCTTGTCATGATACAATTCGATTGTTGCGAGGCCAGTGTCAAATGTACACGTTCTGGTTTCAATCGGTTTTCCGAATCTGCATGGCCCAGTACATAATTCGTGTTATGGCCCCATGTATATAAATCCGTGCCTCCCTTTCCAATATGCTCTACTTGCTGCTGCTGGATCATGTACGTTTCATCCAGCTCATGCATCGAAAATTCGGTATCGATCTTTTTATATTGTACTTGATGTTTGGGAAACGTATCGGATAATGTAGTATTAAATAATTCAAAAGCGTCCAAACCTTCCCTGTCTTTGATACTGGGGTCAATATCTTGTCTTGCCAACAACATGCGAGCAATTTCAATATTGCCCATGTACATTGCTCTTTCAGACTTTGGTTAATGTCGAATTCGTCAAGAAAGAGAAAAGGAGATCTCATATTTACCTATGGAGTGCTGTCCAACCATTCTCGCGATCACATATATTGACATTGACAATAGGAGAACTGATTAATGCTTGGGCCATTTCAACTCGGTTCCAAGTGACAGCACAGTGCAAAGCGGTTCTGCCATAGACAGAACGTTTATTCAAATCAATGGGTTTGTATCGTTTAGAATCCCTTGTTTCAATCAAGTCGTTTAATAATTGAAGGTCATTGTCTCTAACTACTCTAAATATCGAGGTCATGAAAGTACTGCGGTTATAATAAAAAAGAAAAGGATAGAATATATGCCTGCTTGGCCCAGCTTTTCTCATTGATTGTAGGGATTTAAACTTTTGAAATTCAGTACTGATGTCCCCCAAAAAAGGTTTTATTGTTTACATTCATTTTTGACAAGTGTCAAGTTAAAAATACCTGTTGGAAACGAAAACAGCCCTTATTATATTTTCCAAAGTAGAGAAGAAAAAAAGGGTTTATATTGATCAAGCCTTCCAGGTAAAAACAAAGGGTTTGGTACAAGATGCAATTCCCTTCTGATATATTTGAAGTTTATGTATATCTGAGGCGGAAAGATATAATTCCTTAGACTTTAACGCAGAACAATCATGCAGCAAACACATCTCTTCCCACATCTTTTGCGAGATAACATACTTGGCTATTATAGAAACTGGGGCTTGTAGTGAAAGGATGTATCCGGTTGTTGTAGCAACAGCGCTACGTGAAACTCTCATTAATTCGCTTTAACAAAAAAATGCTCAGCCACGTCAATGGCTTTAGCAGAGGACCTAACATCATGGAAGATGATCACAGTCAGGAAATGCTCTTTGATGAAATACACTTGGTAAGTCATTCCTTTTTTTTTATTGTTACAAGATATTCAATTGAAAGCACAAACAATAATAATAATAATAAAAGTTGATGTGTGTCACCCTACGGAAATTCGCTCATTATTTCGTCATGGATGATTGACAGGCTGCCACGTATATTATCGATATTGTGTTTATTGGGTTATGTATATGTGATGGGAGGTGGAATTATTGTATAGTTTATTTACACTCGGGTGCGACTCTCTCTTGGAACTATCTAATGATACATGAATTAGAACGGATAAAGAGATAGATGATGAAAGGACTTACTCTAGCAAGTGCTGGATGTGATAAGATGGGTCCAATGACAGGAAGTCTTTTCAGGAAACCAAAGACGACAGGGAAAAAGTCGCTAAATATAACACATGATGAGCATTCTGATATGCCTGGCCCTTAATCTAAATACTTTACCCAAACAAATTCAAGAAACCAAAAATCTCTACCATGAAACCAAAGAATGGATATTTAATCACAACAAGGAGAATACCACCCAAAAAACAAATGGTGCCTCGTAACTTTTCCTTTCGTGTAAAAAACACAAATGTACTTTTGGGTCCAATAATCGCAGTAATGCCACACAAGAAAAGAACCTATTATTATTTTGGGTGTTAAATAAACATGATCTTTGCACAACTTGCTCTTCTATTTACATTGCCGATTGCCATTAAACCTCCATCAAATAGCAACATAACACCCATCATCATGAAGAATAATCCAAATGCAGTCAGACCTACACCAATTTCTATAGGCACCAGCCGTAAGTACCATATCAACTTGCATGGCTTATTTAGAAAAAATAAAACCTACTTTGACTATCACTTAACCACATTCTTTTGGGGATTTTTGTACGTGTTTGAAAGAAAAAGGGAAATTAAATCAAGTTTGTAAACTCAGTGCTCTTTCTTCCCATTTAATTAAAAAATAATTTTTTTTTATATATATTTTTATTGTTGAGAATGGTGGAATCGACATTGACAACGTATTCATATGTTGGCATTGTTATATTTTTACTAGTTGTCATTCTGGTGATAAGGCCTGTAACAATTCGAATAAAGCACATCAAAATCTACTTGAATATTTCTACTGTTCCCCCACTAGGTGTACTTATCTTGCTGATTTGTAGGGCCATTGATTTTCAGGTGGTCTCCAAAGGTTTTTTGGGTTCATTCGGTGTGCAACCATGGGCCATTTTAATCCTGTTTTATTCGCTGGTATTTTTTTTTTTATATTTATCTCGTCCATCTTTTCCTTTAAATGAATACTCATTTCCATAGTAAAGGCCTACATATGCATTTCGTTGGATATGACGGGTGTTTTTCAATTCTGTGCTTTCTGGGTCTCCCGAAAAGCTGGTAATCGAGGCATGCTGGCTTTCACCTTGTTCTTCATATTAACAAGTGTGATGAGTGGCCTCACAAGTAATGATGTTGTTATCCTGACAGGCACAGTTTTTCTTTCTTATTTCACAAAGGTGTCGGATATTCGTCCTACCGCTTTTCTCATGAGTGAATTTACCACCGCCAATATTGGTAAGTCAAGGAAGAAAAACCACTTGTATTTATAAATAGTTTAAAACTGACTTGATTAGCTTCCATGGCCTTGTATATCGGCAACCCTACAAACGTGGTTGTTTCTGAGGCCTATAAAATTAGTTTCATCACTTATTCTGCTTGGATGTTACTTCCAACTGTCGTCTGTATATTGATCTCGTATGTCGTATTACGTATCTTGTTTCGTGGGGATTATTACTTACCACGTCATATTCAACCTCCTGATGCTGATCCCAAGAGTGTTCTGGTAGACCCTCATGGTGCCATCTTTGGTGTGATTTTGCTGGCTTGCTGCTTAGTGACTTTGGTAGGCACATCATTTGCAAGCGTGCCTGTATGGATGATCACTTTACCGTTTGCCTGTGTCATGTTAGTGAGAGACATTCAGTACGATCTAGGCTTTCACATTACTCGCCTCTTCAAGAAGACACGGCCTAACCAAGATATCCCATTGGAACCTGTGCCCGCTACTGTTTTACAAATAGATTCGACGAATAAGTCATCCGAGGTTGAGAATGAGGAGGATGGTTCCACATCCCTCACAGAGTCCGAATCTCAGCATGCCTCTGTGATGCGTAGTACTTCTTATGCAACCTCGGTCATCACAAAAAAAGAGCCTCAAAGCAAATGGTTGAAACCTATTTACAAAGCGTATAAATGGTTTGGGGTGCGTTTCCCTACCTTGAAGGCTGTCTTTGTGCGCATGCCTTGGTCTATTTTACCGTTTAGTTTGGGTATGTTTATGTTGATCGAGGCTTTGGCTGAATTAGGCTGGGTAGGCATATTTGCTACTGCCATGGCTGTATTTGCAAAGAATTATGTGACAGCGGTGTTTGGTATGGTCTTTGTTTCTATCTTGGCCTGTCAACTATTAAATAATCTTGTAAGGTAAATATGTTTAAAAAGTAAAAGAGATCCCCCTGTGTTTTGACAAAAAATTATGTTGTGTAAGCCAATGACGATCCTGTTTACGCAAATTATTCAACACCCTAATTTTACGCAACATGTGCATTCGGATGCTACTATGCAAGGATTCTTATTGGGTCTCATTGTGGGTAGTAATTTAGGCGCGTGTTTGACGCTGGTAGGAAGTCTTGCTGGTATTATGTAAGTTTATCCCTCTTATGTCCAAGTAGTGTTCTAATTTTTTTGTATCAGGTTCGATCATATTCTCAAGGTCAAGGGCATTTATACACTAGGTTACTTTCAGTTCTTGAAATGGAACTTGATCATATTACCGACTATTGCTGTTGGTGCGTGTGCTGTATTGATTGGCGAGATATGGTTCATGTACGAGCGATGATAGTGTATAATTTTATAATTAAAAACAATTTTTATTAATCTTGGCTTAAACCAACCAACTCCTTACCCATCTTCTTATCCAAACGACAGATGGGATATTCCTTGATCATACCAATGTTGACCTTATGACCCAAAAGATCACGAATATTGGAAATACCATACTTGACCATGGTAGGACGTTCAAGGCCAAGACCCCAAGCGATAACACGTACATCTTCGGGCAAACCTAAGGGACCCAACATCTCGGGACGGAACATACCAGAGTTACCAATTTCTACCCAAGATTTTAAGCCCTCATGGTAAGAGAAGATCTCCATGGAAGGTTCGGTGTAAGGGTTATATGTAGGCTTGAAACGAATTTTATCCATACCCATCTTTTTGAAAAAGACATCCATGAAACCAATTAAGTCACCTAATGTCAAGTTCTTATCGGCAATCACACCTTCAATTTGATGGAACTCGGCTAAATGTGTAGCATCCACACTCTCGTTACGGAAAACACGATCAATTGAGAAATATTTGGCAGGGCGGAATTCGCCACATTTCTTCGTCTCCTCTGAAAGCTTATGAAGCATGAATGAACTGACAGCAGTTGTATGCGTACGCAAAATCAATTTTTGTGCCTCTTCTTCTTTCCATGTGTAGTTGTAACCGATGGATCCGGTATCACCACCATTCTCGTGGGTCTTCTTGATCTTTTCCATCAAATCACGGGGATAACGGTCGGATGTGGCAGGGTCTACGTACGTGTTAATTATCCTTCATCTTCTCCTTTTTGCTTACTATGCATGTATCTTACCTTTCAAGAAAAAGGTGTCGTGAGCATCACGAGCAGGATGTTGTTGAGGTTGGAAAAGAGCATCAAAATTCCAGAAACTAGATTCAGCATAACAGTTGGTAGGCATCTCTTGGAAACCCATCTCAAAGAAAATCTCACGGAATTCTTGACGCACCTTCATCAAAGGATGAAGATGACCACTGGGAGGAGGAACACCAGCAGCGTCAAAGTTATACTTTTTGAAAGTAGCGTTCTTCCATTCACCACTAATTTAACAAAATGAGCTCTCTTTTTTCCTCCTTTCAATTCCATACACACACACTTACGATTGAATCATCTCAAAGGTGATATCAGTAGCTTCTTTCTTGACTTCCAAAGAGAAATCAGGACCCTTTGATACAGAGTAAGTAGTCGACTTTCTGTACAATACAAAAAATAAAAAAAATAAAAAATTAAGTGTCCGCATTCTAAATATCACACACAAACAAATGAGTCATACTGCTTGTCAACCAAGGTTCTCTTCTTTAAATCAGCAAGGACCTTAGCATCCTTAAGTGTACCGGTAGATTCAATTTCCTTCAAATCCTTTTGGGTCTCATCAACAATAGTATCGACTAAACGGACCAAGTTGGCGCCCTTCTTGGAAACCCACTTGTTCTTGAAGGCTTTACCTTGACCAGGTTTAGCAGAAGCACCTACTTTGTTCTAATCGAGCAACATGCTTTAGTTCACTCGCTTCCTTTTTGCTTACATGCTTTCTTTTTTTTTTTTTCCAAATATTTTACCTGAAGTTCGGCAATGGGAAGACCTTCATCACCGGCAGGAATGGCAGCGAAAACACGAGCTTCGTGACTACCGTCTTTAGCAAGTTGTTTACCTTCTTCTGTCAAAACCCAAGTGATACGGTCAATAGGAGTAAATTCAATCATCTAGTATTGTAGAATGTCAGTTGAATATATATATAAAAGTGACATTGTCTGTTTTACCTCCTTGGACTTTAAACTGTTGAGGGCACCAAGGAGGGCAAGTTGTTCAACAGGTTTATCGTTGTAAGTTAAGTCCTTGGAGTCACTAATGACATTGGCTTTGTCAAGTGTGGTGAGCACAAGAGTTTGCAATTCCTCGGTCGTAGCCATTTTTTATAAAAGGTAAAGGGCAAAAAGAGTTTTTATTTTATTTTTTGATTTTTTAAAAAAAAATAATACAAATGTAAGCTCAGCCACCCAAAATTAATACGTTTTGTCTAAACAGTGAACAAGACTTGCAAGCACAGTAGACCACTTTTATAAGGGTTTCTCGAGCATCTTCAATTGTACCCACTTTACCGAATCGTGTTTGCCATTTTTGAAATTCTTAATTGTCCCAGCCTAACCTATAGAATTTTGACCTGAAGAATAATTTTATTTTTATTTTTATTGTAAGCAATGCATAAGCGTTACTTATTTACCACCGAATTTAATATCAAAACTATGATACAACCAATTGCATCGCTTGATACACCAACATATTCATGACAGAACACGTTCCCTGCAAAGATTAATATTGTTTTGGCTCTGTTGTCAGACCCTTTCAATGGTGTAAGATTTTTATTAAATCGCCTGTCAAAGTATTCCAGAAACTGTCGGTAAGGCTAATGACAGGTAAACTATTGACGAATTATTGACCAGTCAAGTCTTTACCTAATTTAGAACTTTGAAACTTAAAGTGTGCGCTGTAATCGGTGGCAGCTCTTACAGCTTGGTAGGAGATCGTGATGTACTTATAGCGTATATCTTTACGAGTATGCACATCGTAGAATACGCAAAAACGTACTCTATGCGATTATGCTGCTAATACTGCAGATTCATCTCTGTACAGTTTAGGTTGACCTCTTTACCACTTACATATATTGTCGTTATATTAATTTTTATTTCACATTTGTTTTCACTTTTCTATCGGCTTTATTATGGGTTCCTGGTTTTGTTTAATTATGAAATAACGCAAGAAGATTTAGTTTCTAAATTCGGGCGGCTGCTTTCATTCACAATTCGTGCAGTTTGTGTGGCCTTGTATTCTTGCTCTGTTTGGTAGCCTTTTAATTGAACCTTGGTATCGTCTACTCTTGGCAGAATTATCGCAATGAAACCAGTGTCCATATGATGTCCATTAGCTAGTAAGCTAGTTCCTTCCTTTTCTAAACGACTATTCAGCTCCAACAATTTACCTTCCATTTCAGCCTTAACATGTCCCACCACATTATCCTGGGCATCCTTAAATTCACAAAGAATCGTGTTCTTTTTTACTTTCTCTCCAACCAAATTTTTGTTCAATACGACCTTAACAATATCTGTGGAAGGACTGACAATACCGAGAACGCAAACTTTATTAGGTGATTGTCGAACGTATACGCTGTTGGCTAAAGGATCGGCCTCGGTATCTACCGTTTTGTAATAAAGCGAGTAATAACGATCCAAGTATGCCGTAGGATCTTTGCTCCAGTTGTTGGTCAACTGGGCATAATCTTTAATGTCGTAATCAGCAGGAGCGTCCATTGTTGTCGTTGAAGAAAAGCCAGAAAAAAATCATTTTCAATATCGCTGTCCCAATATTTGGCACTTTCATCATACCTGGACTGGCCAGGACCGGGTATAAACTTAAAAATTAGTCTCCTGCTTTTTGATAACCTCAACCGATTTTCCTCAGTTTTCCATAACTTTGTTTTTCTTTTTAGCTCACAATTTTTATAAAGTCGTTTGTAATTCATTATGGAGATGGACGAGATTATTTATTATGATGAGCCAGGGATGAGAGTATATAAACCCATGGAAGAGGTCTTGACTGAAGTAGATGGTGCGAAAATTATTCTGGAATATTCAACTTATTTTATCATCCTAAAAAACTCCCAATAAGTATTTTTATGAAAGGATGTAAATTTATTGCTCTTGTATCCTGTAAACAAATAATACAATGAAATAATATGATCATCATTACATGTACTGGTGAATAAAGGTCGAGCTCAAAATTTAATAAGCAAGCCGATTCGCATTACTTTCGATGGCCATCAACTTGTGCTATACATTACCACTTAAACTATATAGGTATTACTTCTTTTTGAGGTTTATTGATACCTTTTTCCCTTTGGATTACTGTTCGTAACAATAAATGTAAATTTATGCAAATATGTTTTGCATAGTGATGCTGAGCAGTCCCGCATAAGCCACAATAAAAAAGTAGAGTGTCAAACTGGGACAAAAGCTAAGAATTACCTTTTTTTCAGAATCCCTTAAAAGTATGAATAGCAATATTACAGAACTTGAGGATTACTATAAAACACCAAAAGAGGTCTCCGAAGCCTTGAGGGTTAAGGATCTCCAAGCGCTTGTTAGAGGTATGAATTGACCTCTGTTTCTTTTTGCATAACAAATCGTCTTAATAAAGTATAAATTAGGTTTATCGAAATTAAGAACTCAATTGACGATCGCCATTAAAACCAGAGTAGATCCAACTGAAAAACATACCAGACCTCTGGTTGAGTACTGCCAATCTTGTACCGATAGTCGGGAGCTTAGCAGTTTATGGGATTATCAAGCCTCGGTAATCCTTTCGAGATTAGTTACATGTAATCAACTTTCAACTAATAAGTAATTTTCGTAGACAAATATCCAGGATTTAGAATGCATGTTACCAGATATTATTGGATTATTTATTCGACTTTCAACTACACCTATTATCCGTTCCTATGGTATTCAGGTTATTCAAACAATTTTGCAACGACAAATGAAATTTGTATATCGTGGTATATCCTCCATGCGCATCCCTCACTGCCAATCTACTTATCGTTTATTGACTTCGATCGTTTCGTTTAACGAGTCTACTGCAAGAGATTTATTCACCACCTTCAATTTCCAGGCCGATGTAAGGAGGAATTCTTAAAACATTTGACGTAGACTAAAGGTAGATTTTTATAACTCCAGGGTTTCTTAAGAGCCTCTAGATATCGCCAAGCTAAAAAGACAAAGAAACCACAAAGCTATATTTATGGTAAGAAATTTTATGATCAATTGATAGATGGAGATACTCAATATTATATCAGATTTAAGAACCAATTATGTACAATTTGTTCTTGCCTTCTTTAAGCATGGTGATGCTGATATTAAGAAACAAGTATTAAATGTGAAGGGTCTTGTTAGCGGTGTATTTGTAGGCATGGATGAGGACGCATATCCGGTAATAGATTAGAATCATAACAGCTAACGAACAAAAATCTGACAAAAATTGCTTTAGTTAATTGAACAAATTCTTTCAGTCATGTACGAAAAGTTGATCATGGATAACAACGTGCCTAGAAGTACCAAGGCATTTTTCTTCTCAGCATATATTTTAGAGAAACTTGCCAAAATTTATGCTCGCTCTGAGGAAGAAGAGACTGCTGACGAAGGAACCGGTGTTCCTGCTGATTTAGTGCATCATTTCCTTTTATCCATATGTACTGTACCTGATGTTGGTGTGTGTTTCCGTGATACTGCTTGGTATCCCGCGAAGCCTAACACGGATGAACAATCAAAGAACTCCAAGATCACCAATCGCTTGTTAGCTAAATTTATTGTTACACTTAAGCCAGCAGATGACATGCGCCAACAAGAATTAGTGTTGAAGATATTGAGTGCTTGCCCTGAACTTGTTCAAGAGTAATAATTAATCATTCTCCTGAAATTATTTTGTATAGTCGCTAATTATAATAATTTAATTTTAGGTTTTGGCACCACACCATTTTAATGTATGAGCCTAGAATCTCCAGTAAATGGCTTGCTAATATTACATTATTGCAAAAGATTGTTCAGTTACCAGTTCCCTCTTTATTTTATGGAGTAACACGTCTTTATCCTGCCGAACCACCCAGCTTCGAAACTATTTTGGATAACATTCTTCCAAACGTTTTTAATCGCTCACCTTCCAGTAAGGGTCTGCAACATACTAGCCCACTTGTTAGATACACAACTATGGTCGCATTGTCTGCAGTTTTCCAGAAATACAGCAAAGTTAGTCATGCAATGGAAAAGGTTATCATGGCACTTGAAACCTCAGAGATGAATCAAAAGGAACAACAGATTAGTGACGAATCTTCTGTGCAACAAACAAAGCCATCCGAAAACTGGAAAAAGTGCCTTGAGAGTGTTCGTGAAGGATTACGTCGTCGTGTGCCTGAAATCCAAACTGTGGTTACTTTGCACAAACAAACTTCCATTAAAATGGCTGCTGATGCGGATGACAATGAACAGGCTTGCCAAAACCAACTAATTCAAGATACAGCATTCAGATTGATCAGATATTATCAAGAGTTTGTTCCTGAAGCATTGATGGAATCCAATATTGATCCTGGAAACTTTATTCCTGCTGATATATTGTCTGTCAAACCTGGAACTTTAATTCATTTATTGAGACTTTTCCTCAGTATGCCTGATTTTAACTGGACTAGCCGATCATGTAAGATTTCAAAAAAAAAAAAAAAAAAAAAAAAATCCCCCCCCCAAATACTTATATTGTCTTCTATAGCTGGTTCTTCTACCTCTCATATTACCACATTATTAACCCTTTATCTCCAAACGCCCTATAAACATATCCGTGATTTGACTGGTAAACTCTTAAACCAAACCTTGTCTGATTCGTTCATGTTCGCCCATGATCCCGAGGAAGTCCAGCTTTGGTTGAACGCTTTGCCTGATAATTTCTCCACTGCCCGTGGTTTAGTAATGTCAGAAACTCAACAAGCAGTCTTACAGTTTCTGGATAATTGTATCAGTAGATTCAGTAAAGCGCAATATAAATACACCGATCAATTGGTACAACTTGTCAACGCTGCCAACAACGAAATAACAGCTACCGGCAATTTAATCAATGAACTTGTGTCTGCTGATTCTAATGTTAACGCCTCCAATTACAAACATCCTTTCAGTCCTTTATTATTGACCTTATGTGAAAATTTAAACTTTATCAAGACAGATAGAACACCCGCGGTACTCTATCTAACCAACTTGATCAAGCTTTTACTCACCAAGCAAAGTGTCCCTCTCTATCTTGAACAAATCAGCTCTAAATTAGATAAGGAGATGAATCCGGATCAAGATATTTCAGCCCGCCAAACCGGTCAATGGACTAAAAACGAAATGGTCCTTCAAGCCAGATTGTGTTTAGGTCAAGAAACGGTACCATCCGCTAACGCAATGGAGGTTGATAACGACGAATTAGAGGAAAAATTCACTTCACTTATCAAAACCGAGGATTTTGAAGAAATTTCTGCTGTTAAAGAAGAATTTATCGAGTTACTTAAGGGATTGCCTGTGAGTGTTCTCGACAAACATCTGGAGCGAGCTGCTGCCTTCTGTAGTCGTGATTTACGATGGACGTCATATGAACCCCTCGTTGACTATATGACTCTCCGTCATCCATTAGCGGGTAGTGTATTTGATTATACCGAAATCACTGATATGAAATCTTTGGTTTCAATGGAGCAGTAAGTAATTATTATGTTCAGATACAACTTTTAGCTAACCTGATTTGTAGTGAACATTCAGCATTGTTGTTAAAAGCTATGCCTTTTAATTCACTTTTGTATAATACTTTTCTTTTCAAGAAATACGACCATCAATTCTCCATGACAGTATTGAAGTTCGCCTTGGATAGTATGAAGTCTCGTGATTTGACCAACGCCGCCTCTTTTGTATTCCAACATTTAAATACAATTTTAATCAACCAAGAAAACACTGATAATTATGTTGCTTTGAAATTCTGTTTCACTCTGTTACGTCACATAATTGGTTTAGTAAATCAAATCCAAGACACCAAGGCACGTACGGAATTAAGGACGTATATCTTTACGTACCCTGCATTGAAATATCTTGACACTCAACTTACAAACGAAATCCTCAAATTTGAAAATCTGAACACATTCCCTAGTGAGGCCAACGTGTCTGTAAGTAGCCTCAACATTTTGCCAGAAGAATTATTTTCTAACTATTGTATAAAGTTACTTCAATTAGCCTTGTCATTTATTGATATCTTTGGTGAAGGATCTAACGCACAAACATTATTAAACTGTGTAATTCGTGTTGATTTTGAAGGACTTTATACTTTCAGCAAAAAAATCATCAAGAATAATAATCTTAATGAGATTATGAAGAAACTTTTACTTGTCCTTGTGGAATACATGTACAGCTCAACATCTGAAGAATTTTCCATCCCCAGCAAGGCTTTCAAGATTATTACTCAACTCTGGAAAATGGGTACGACTGATGAATTTAATTTGGAAATCCTTTCTTTATTGGAATTGAGCATGACTAGAGAACAGAAAAAGAACGAAGCTGAATCCGACGCCATTCACGTATTGTTGGAAGCATGTTGCGAACCTATCATTAAGCACATTTTGGCTGGTAACAAATGTATTATCGATATTGTCTCTCTCCGCTCAGCTTGCATTGCCTCTTCTGTTAACGTTCCGTTAATTGTTGCAACCCATTTAAACGACACCCTTCTATTGACTCCCAATTTGGTCGATGTTATTCATATTGGTTATGATTTGTTATCAGATAAGTTGGAAGACCAATTAGAATATATGCAAGCTGTTTTTGAGCACCTTCTCAAACAATTGACTGCTGCTGCCGATGCCAACGTTATGTCGGATGAAACACCGGAGGATGCTTTTTATGACAAGCTTGTGGAATTCATTAAATTAATGACTTCTTTTAACTGGACCACCAGGCTGGATTCCGAAGTTGTTCGTGATTTCGTTTTGACTTCTTTAATGGATAATATTGCTGATGCTGCTGCTATTCGTCTAGTTGGTGTCCTTGTTGAACGCGTCTATGAAGGGTATGGAAAATTAGAACCCATTGAAATTTATCTTCGTCGTATCCTTGATCATCAAGAATATCAAAAATTGACCTCTCCTGATGTTGCTAAGCTCCTTGCTCGTCAAGTTCCCGAAAATGATGCTCAACGTCTTGCTATCATTCAATTGATTTATAAATTGAACAAGATCCAACCCCTCATCCTTGCTAGAAATTATGGTTTGTTAGACTCCCTTTTGACAAGTTATAGTGCAACGACTACAGTTACCGATAAACTTATTTTGGAAGTTTTAATGGCTTGTGAAAGCCATGGCCGCGAGACAATCCTCCCCAAAATGTTAATGTGGGGTCCTGGATCGGATCGTACCCGTCAAGCACATGCTCAAGCTGGCACACTATTACAGACAAGTGCAATCTCCATTGAAACGCTAAGCTTGATTGACCCAGCTTTGATGAAATATACCTTTACACATTTTCCTGCTCAATGCACTCTTCAAGCTACTCACAATGACACCGAGACAAACGACTTTAGCTCATCGCCCGTATATGATCCTTCATTCTTTTTACCTCTCTTTGCAAATATCATTTCTGCTGGTGCTATCGAATGTCGTAAATTTATTGAATGTAACGGTCTTGGGTTTGTTGTGATGGCCATGTCTTCCACCGATGATCAAGTACGTTGCATTGCATACCAAATGATTGATCAATTCTATGTCATGGTGGAACACGCTAGATTTAAAGAACAACCTTCAATCATTTTCGTTTTAGAAGCTTTCAAAAATTCTATTACTGGCCGTGCAGAAGCCGATACGCCACCTAGAGTGCCTGCAGCTATCTGCGTTTGTATTGGCCATGCGTTATCTATTTTACTTCATCCAGAACATTTCATGCTTCCTCATATTACATCATGGATCTTGCAAAACCCTACATTTGATTTCAACGTAAGTTTTTTTAGTTTTTTTCAGAATATTTTTTTACTAACCTCTATATAACAGTACGTCCCCATGTTTACCTTCCTTTTCACATCATCCTCTCCTAATCATAGAAAAGAACGTCTCTGGTTGCTCTATGTTTTATCATCTTCGTTACGTACATATGATGACTACAAGATTTTCTCCAGACAAAGTATTTTTGATATGATTGCCACATTTTACAACTCTGCATATGCAGATCAATTAAGTAAAAAGGCTGTAATCGAGGTAATTGACGAAAAGAAAAGGCGGGGTACTTGATGTACTAATATGAATTCTTAGATTATGGAACAAGCAACTGCAATTCCCAGTGTGACATCCAATCTTATACAGTATAACGGTTTGTTAGCCTGGATTCATCAAGCTTTAGCGCTCGCATCAGATGAAGAAGAATTCCAAGCGTGGAATAAGATTTTAAACGCTACTGTAGCTAGCGTCAGTAAGATTGAAAAAGTACCCGAGAAAGTGAAAGCCATGTTGAATGATGAAAAGACTGTATTATTAGAATTAAATTAAATAGTTAAGTTAGTAAATTGTGTATAATAATAAACCTTTAGAAAAGATAAAGAACGATAAAGCCGTATAGTTTAGTAAAGATTCTGTTTGCAGACTGATATTCTTTTTACATACCAGAGAAATCTTTGGTCTGACTTTTATAACATGAGCCAGAGTATATGGGTCCACTGAGCATAATGCTCTTTTCATCGGTTATTAACTTTCGTTCGCAATGTCCTAAGCTAGATTTAATAATGTTACTGTACTTTTCCCTGGATATCTTTCTATCCGCTGTTTGACTACACTGGACAATCTAGTAGCGATGTAAAGTTGAGAGTATAAAAACGATGATTAAAAGGGTAGTTGTAGTGGGTACCACGCTGTTGGCTGCGATCAGATAGTGTTTAGAATGAGGAGCGAAGTATATTACTTTTAGTTAAGATGAATTAGGTCTCGCTCTTGAAATATTCCTTTAAAAAATAATAACTCAAGTGGATCACTCTAAGTCTGGTGCTCACTATCACAAGTGTTATATGACAATCGCGGATCTTATTCTCATCTTGTTGTTAAGACTATAATATAAATCTCTTTGCCTACTTTTATTATATAAATTAACCTCTCTTAAGTCATCTAAAGATGTTTAGATGATGCGATATTAAATAAGACAATTAAAATAAAACTAAATATCAGAGAATATATTCTTTGATGTAAGTGTAATAGTTTTCAGCAGGTTTTTGTAAGAAATCGTTACGATTGTGAAAAAAGCAAAAGCCAGAAGAATTATAGATCAATTTGAGTAAGTATACTTCCATATTGTTGCA